TTGACTGGCTGCTAAAGAGGACTCACGATGTGCTGTGCTTTTACCTGAAATGAGATTAGAGGAATGTTATTCCCCCCCTTCCCCTGTTAGCCTGTTGCTAACAGGGGAAGCAGTAATAGCCTTTAGTGCTATTTGCTCCTTCAATGAGTGCAAAATTATATCAAAGAAAGACTTATATGGATTTCTGAGACTATAGGATTTAGCCAAATCTGGAGGGGAATATCTTTAAAAAAAAAACTTTATTATTCTGTGTCAACCAATTCTATTTGGACCACTAGCACAATATTAGACTGATCAGTCTGTTAGCATACTTAGTTGTTACTGCTAATACTACACATACTTTTACCATTGTTACTGACATTGTAGTTATAAATCTATCTTAGTCATTGTTGTTGTTGCTCTGCTTGTCTCTATCTTCCTTCCTGCATCTCCCTTTATCCCACTTCCCAAGCTCAACAGTTTCAGCAGATGGTTTTTTTCAACATGAGTCTAATTCTGATTGATGTTTCTGCCTCTTAAAGAATGTCCATCCTTGCCAATGCAACTTTGCCAAATGTTGCTTAGTTTAACAAAGAGTAAGGTCTTTTACCTGCTCTTTTGTAAAGTGCTGGTAAAAGTGAATTGGTGCTATACAAATAAAGATTGATTGATGTTCTGCTGCATGTGCTTCAGATAATGCTGATGGTATTGTTAGCTATGGAGTCAAAGCACACTCTGCTGGAAAATCTATGATCACTAACTTGTTTTTTTTTTCTTTAAAATAAGTTTTAATATCAGTAAGTACCAGAAAACAGTCATGCCAATATTGATATATCTGTAATAGGCCCATATTGGCTCTGTATTATCTGCCAACATTGGTTGGGCTCTAATTTAAAGAGACACAAGCATCTTGGTTTAAAGTCTTCATGTTGTATTAATGATTGGTGGGATAAACGTGTGCAGGGCAGATTGTGATTGGGAGTTATACAAGGTGTTTAAATGAATTTGAAAACTTCTTTTGCAGTAATTAAGCTTACTTAAAAAGGCTCTCAAAAAGGGGTTCAGTCCTTATATAGGCATCTGAAACAAGGATATACTGTAGGATTCATTTGAAGAAATAAAGAACTGGAATTCCATATAATCTTCACAGATATATTAGTGTGCATGTATGCTGTTGATATGAGTGTGCACCTCTATTTAAAGTCAATAATAAACATTAAATATGAAGCTCATTATTGCAACACACTGTTGCTCCAATCCCCCGATGAGCCATATTTGTTATTACCTCACATAATCCTGACTGAACCTGGCTTTTTCTGCTGCTGGAAGTGTCAATTTAAAATGTAATTGCTTTTATATGTTACCCAAGGTTAATGTACTTCGTCTCCAGTCGACCTGGAAATCTCATGGGGTAACAAAGCTAAGCAAGCTTTAAATATTTAATTACCAATCCCCAAGACAAGTCGTCATATTTCCTGTTGTATGAAAAACCCAGAAGGGAGAGCTGATAGTCAACCATGACATCATGAAGCCTTATTTGATGTGTCAGGCGTGGACCCTATAATCCCACCTTGCCAGCCTCCACAGGTTAAGCTTGTCAGGTTGACAAAATGGGGTCCATGTTCCATATGTATGAGACAACATCGTGTTGTGTAATTGGTGCATTTTGGGTGTGTGTGCGCTCCAACTGACACAGGGGCGGATAACACAACAGAAGTGGATGTGTAACTCTGCGAAAGAGAAATATCTTCGTCATGCAGACCACTGCTATATGGAATAGAAAGATATGCAGGGAATTTCTGACAGGAATTTCTAATAAGGCGAGAATAGCGTTGTTAGATGTTCAGGTGGGATATACTGTATGTGTGTTTAAAGAAGCTCTTATCATGTCAGTGCAGTTTCACTAGAAAGAGAAAAGGCCTTGAGATGTGTCTCACATCGGGGAGAAGCAGATCTAATATATGCAGCAGACGCAATGAACGAGCAAACAAAATCAATCATCATTAACATCACTCTGAGTGGAAGTCATTTGAGGCAGATATAAGGAACACGGCTTCTAATACCAGAATACAAACAAGTTGTAGACGTTTCCACAAACAGAGAGTCGGTAACTGTTGCAACACTCGTTCATTCCCTGCAAGGAGTCGTGATGTTTAACGAATATATTAATACGTTTGTCTCCCTTCATAAACGTCACATCTGATAGACGGGTGAACATCCTTATTTTTAATCCCACTGACAGCTTTTTTTGACATATCAGAGAAAATGGAATCAGCTGAGACAGTTTTATTAATGTTCTACCTCAGGAAAAGGAAAGCGGAAAAATAGGAAGGGAAGCTGTTTTTAGGGTTGTGTCTGAATTTCTTCAGCTCTGATCCTTGAACATTTTCATTTCAACATGATTTTGTAGAGCTCGCTCAGATAGAGATCGTTCTAGTGAGCCCACAATCAGAGAATGTGTGTGGTGAATTTGCTGCCCTACTGTTCCCTCCCCTCCATCTCTCAATGTTGCTAATATTTAATTTTATGGCTCTAGTGCATCAAGACCGCAATAAATTCCAGTAAAAATACGAGGCTCACTTCCCATTTTGTGGCTCTTAATGCATCCTGGCAAAGCTTGCTGATAAAAGTCACATTAAAGCGTCCAGATTTACCACAGCCCATTCACTTATCTCTGCGCAAAACTGGATTATGAATAGAGTAGCTGCTGCTGCTGCTGTTGTTGTTGTTGTTGTTGTAGGCGGTAATATATTTGCTGGAGCTAATGCAGTTTTAAAGGTTGATTTGCAAAATGTAATAAAGATGTCTACAAAGCACAAAATTCAGCTTTTATAGGAATGTTTGGGGACATAGTCTCAGTTGCTTTCTTACAAAGTCATGGATGAATATTTTTGATACCACTTCTCATTGTGTGTATTACACTAGATCGAGTGGAAAAAGCTTTACCCAGCCTCTGTCTGAAGTTTACAAAATCTACTACTTAGCACCCCTAAAGTGCACTTTTTATCTTTATTATTTTAGATGAAGCCAGACAAAATCTAAAACCCTTATTAACTATTTTATAGCAGGGTTTTTTTTTCCAAGTCCGTTAAATCTCAGTTCAAAAATCTTGGCGTTATATTTGATTAAGCACTATAATTCGACAAACAAATAAATCAGGTTGTAAAATTAAGCTTCATGCAGCTCCGATCCACCTCCAATTCTTGCCTCCTTACAATGGCTACCAGTCAAGCTGAGGAGTGATTTTAAAATACTGTTGACTCTGTTCATGGTGTTAAATGGACTTGCCCCTTGGTGTTTTGGGGATCATGCCTTTTCTGTTGCTGGACCAAAATTGTGGAGCTCTTTACCTCCCAACATCTGTCTCTCACCCACTATTGGTATTTAAAGGGGACATATTGTGAAAAATCCACTTTGACAGTGGTTTTGAACATATATTTGGGTAACCTGAGTGTCTCCCAGCCCACAAAATGTGTCCTGTTTTGACAAAGGCACAGCACAGGAGACTGTTTGAAAAGGTGGAAAAGGGGTTTAATATGTCCTCTTTAAGACTCACCTCAAAACATATTTCTACTCAATTGCCTTCAATTTTCAAAAACCCATCAGGCTCAAGGATCCATAGTGTAAGTTTTGTGTTACACTGGACATAATTGTTGTTCTTTCATTTTGATTTTTGTTGTTTTTGTCTGTTACTTTCTTAATCTTTGTTTTTTTCCCTATCTGAGCTGTTCAGCACTTTGGATCTACTGTGTTGTGTGTAAAGTACTATATAAATAAAGTTGAGTTGATGTTTTGTATCAAATACTGGTCGGGCACAGTAACTTCCTTGAGACTCAACTGGTTTGCCAACTGCTTAACCAACAAGAGATGTCTTGTTAATTTGTAAGCTTTAGCAGAGCCACCCTAGTTCTTTCCCTGTTTCCTGTTTTATGCTCAGTTTTGCTAACAGGCTACTGCCCACAACAATATTACCATAAAGGTGGGACTCAACCTACTCAATAACCCCACAGTATTAAAGCTGTATTTCCAATAATGTTGCAATATTCCTTTAAAATGTATAGAGTGCCTATACCACTCTGGAAAGGCAATAAACACTGTTAGTCACCTCAACAAGTCAAAGTTGGCGCACCAAGTAGCTGGTGTTGAATATAAATTGATTTGCTTCAACATATTGACAGCTGCGTTTTGGGAAAGTTATGGACTCTGAATCATTGAAAGGGATTACTCAGCCGGCTCATTATGACTCATCTGAACCATTTTGTCGAGCTGCAGATGCTGCTCGCCACATACACATACACTGACCTGCCTAACCCTTTATAAAATCAATACTTTGTTGAATGTAAACTGCAATGCTGTTATAAAATATGAACCATTTGTACCCTCTAAGGTTAGCACAAAGCGCAGAGCCTCTGATAGATCATGCCCGGTTCAAACAGGCCTCTCTCTACAGAGTGTTCACTGTGATGAGCAGTAAGAAAATGTAATATGATGAACAGCTGACCTTTCGTGATTCGGTAACAGTTTGTATTTTTCCACTCCATGTAATTGCATTACAGTTCATTTTACGGTCAAGAGACTTTGTAAAGATAGAGTCAAGTAAGAGGCAGCGGCACAGAGAGCTGCACAGCTCTGATTTACATGTTGCAGAGGTGGTAAGATAAAGTCTGTGAACTGTTTCCTGCAGGCAGCCGAATGCAGAGAAATACTAAATATCATGAACACCATGTTTGATAATCTCCCTTATTGGTCATTTCTAGTGATTTCATTCAAAGTCAACTGCAAGCTCTGTTTGTTAAAATGCAAGAAACCTAATGCAGCTCTGTACATAATTTATTAACTTGTCTCTGTTTATTAAGACAGTGTGAGATGCATATAATGGGGACTACATTAAATATGGAAAAGGCAGCAAAAATAAATAAAAATGCTTATATGAGACAGGCTGTTCAGCAGTACACACAAGGTGAAACCTAGTGACTCATCTAACCCAGATTCCTGATTCCTCTTCCCCTCTCTGCCCACAGCCGTCACCCTGTGAATGGTGCCGCTGCGAACCAAATAATGAGGTGCACTGCGTGGTGTCCGACTGCGCCGTCCCAGAGTGTGTGAACCCCGTGTACGAGCCGGAGCAATGCTGCCCCATCTGTAAAAACGGTAAACACTGTCTCTTCTTCAAATTCCACGCACATCCTCCTCAGAAGTCATTAAATTTTCATTAAACCGATGACGGGCAAGTTTATCTGCAGTATCGCCATTTGATGGCCGCGCCTTTAGAGGATGAGGATGTAATGGATGTTTTATGAATTAAAATTATTACCTTGGGCCTGTTGGACACTAATGAGCAGGACTAGTTTTAATTATAAATGACACACTAAGCAGAGTAAACATTAGCCCATTGATTAAAGGCATGGTAGGAGGGACTAATGGGTCCTCGGAGAGCCTTTTATCTCCTAGTGCCCTGACGCCCTTGTCACACACAGCCAATCCCTAAATTAGAATTATAGGATTCCAATGGTTCATTGGCTATTTACAAGGCGAGGTGGGAGATTTTCCTTTGCCAGCATCAATCCTGAGGGAGAGATGGAGCTTTATGACTTAAGTACAGTAACTGCCCTTCTGCAATGTGATCTCAGCTTGAATGAACAACAGCAAATAGTTCCTGTGGGAAATATTAAATGCTGTAACAACAGAATGTTGCATTCTCGGGTTTTACCGGCCTGGAATGTAAGTTTTTAAAAAGCGCCATCGTTTTTCTAAGCCTAAATGTGAAGCAAACAAACAAAAACATCCACTATCATAATCATGTGCCTCGTCTTTGCCTTCCGTCTTCTCATTATGAACGCTGTAATGGCGCAAATAGAGTCATCATGAGTATTCATTCTGAAAGAATGTTTATATTTTTAATTTTCCTTCCAAGCAGAGGCTGACCTATAAATGTGAAGAGAGGAATTTAGTTTGAGGCAGATGCTAAGTGGCTGTTTCAACACAACTTTCTTTCACACTTTCACCCATTGCTTCTTCATCCCCCTTGCTTTTTTTTCTCCTCCTTTTATATCCCACACATACATGCACGAGCACACAAACACCCACTCTAACAAGGCTGGGGAAGCTGCTAGGAGAGCGCTAATCTAGGCTGACAGGACACAGTGACACCGTTGGCATTTCAGGGTAGGCCTGCCGTTTCTAGACTCCCCAAGGGTGCATGGTCAGGCTCTGGCAGGCAGATAAATCTCTATAGGAGTAGATGGCTGAGAGGACAATGAAGAATGCTGTTTAGCTCTCATTTCTGGCCAAAGGACAGGGTGATATGAGAGGAAGACATTTACTTATGGGCTCCAGTTTGATGTGCAATTAGTGGAAGACAGTAAGACATTTTGTCTCTTCTTTTTCCTGCTGCAACAAACTCAAATCATAATGTGAAATGTGCCCAACCCTTTTGAAATGTCACTGTATTTTGAGCACCACCTTTTCTCAACAGGGACTCATTATTATACTAGACACACAGACAGTAACGTTTCATCGTTTTGTACGGTGGTTGTAGGGTTGGTTTAACTCCACAACTAATGCTGCAGGGTACTGTGACATTGTCATTTTGAGTTAAAGTTTTCTCTCATTTAACACAAATCTGTGTGGTGGCAGAGTCTACAGCCCTTCTAATGGCACATGAGAGAGCGGTGCTTTTAGCTTAATGCTAACATAGTCACAATTACAATGCCTACATGGTGATGTTGATAAGGTATGATTGTACCATGTTCATCTTTTTTGTCTAACCTGTTAGCATGCTAACAGTAACTAATACGTTTTCATAGAGTATACAGATAGGGATGGCCAAAAAGTGAGAAATCTGAAAAATAAAACAATTAATTTCTTATAAAAAGGGATGATTAATGCTCATTGGGGTGGAACATTTATACAAAACACATTGTGTGTATTTTAGAGCTTATGCTAATTTTTTACTAATTTTACCCAAGTGTAATTCTTCCGGACAAGAAGAAGCACATGGAAATTGGATCAGTGTGTATCTTTTGGGTTTCTCACATTAGACGTAGCGTCACAGTTAAGGGGCTGTTTTGTCTGAAGACTAACTCTACAGTGTAGGAAGGAAGTGTCTCAGCACAGTACAGTTAAGAGATCTGGATGAACCCAGTCATTGTGTTATGGGTTGTTTAAATTCTATAGTTAGGTAGTTTTGAGGTGGGGTTGTACGAGGTACTTGTAAGTATATTAGCGACCAGAGAAATAGGTCAGCTCAGCCCCTCTCTTGAGGAAGCGGCAGGAGTGCAGGCACAGAAGCTAGGCTGTACATTGTAGCAGACGGGTACGTTGGTTCCACTTAATTTGCTCATTTTAAGAAAAAACGATCTAAAAAACAACGTCCGGGTAAATGTACACTAAAAAATTCAAAACAAGCCCCTTTGTTGTTGCATGACTTTGGTTCACCTCATTCATTTTCTTCCACCTGCAGCACACTGATCGGCTGTATAGGTCTGCTGGTGAGGGCTGTATCCGAATTGCCAAGTACATACTCAATCTGTCAGTAGGCAGTACCTACTATCCGTGCTGTATACTGTTAGTACCTACTATTCAGTAGGCGCGTACAGTAGGCAGATATTTGTTCCTACCTCGTCTGATTCATTCAGTATGGAAGTGGCGTCATTTACGTCACCCATTTTTTTGTTTTTTTTGTTTAGCTTTATTCAAGAAGAGTAATGCACATATACAGTCAGGTAAACAAAAAACAATATCACAATGTAAATCAAGTAAAAGACAGATTAATAACTAAATAACATACAGTACATAAAGAAACGTACAAATGAAAGACAGTAATATACAGAATATAAAATAAAATAAACCAATAAAGACACATTTAAATAGTGAAATCATTATTTAAATAGAGGGAGAAAGGTTTTATAATAATGCAGATATTTGTTATATTTTCTGTTGTTAATTAAAAGTAGTGATTTCAGTCAGGACTTTAACTCTAGATTCAAAATTGATTCAATTAATCCACACTCGTTTGTTTTGATTTGGAGGCGGACGTGAAGTGACGATTTATGTTTAATTTCGCACAGCATTGTGGGTGGTAAAATACAATTCATTTCCTGAAAGCACACATCCGATCTATACTGTATGAAACCCGCAAGTTAGTATCCATACTGAAATGTTCAGTATACTGAGGTGGACCCAAAAAAATGCATACTGAATGACCATAGTGAAGTTTTTAAATGCTTTCTCATGTTTATATTGTCCTTTTTTCATGTAGGCTTTTGAATGTGTTAATGTACCTCCATGACGACAGTAAAATTGTTTCATACATTTTGTTTCCAATGATACCAGAAAATTTGTAGCAGAACGAAAAAGGTTAGCCTAGCCACCGTAGCCAGTCAGAGTAATCAATAGAAGATTAAACTAAATTTACTAAAAAAAAAACTAAATTTATCCTTGTAGTAACCTTGATTCGTAGAATTTTATTGACCTAAAAATGATCATGTCAATGCTTATTGCCGCTAACTCTTTGTCAAGACTTTTCATTATTAGTAGATGTTTTGGCTTGTCTGCTGCTTAGTGTTTCACCCTGAACACAGCAGCAGAGAGAAGGAGAGGACAAAGGAGCATTCAGTCGTTCTTAGTGCTTATCTCCGAGCTCCACATTCATTAAGTCTGCGTGATGCAGCTCTAATCTTTATCTTGAGTTATATACTGTACATTCATCAGGGAATATATGTAATTATATAATTGTCCTGAGGAAAATGGTAATGAGAAGCACTCTGAGAATGTACTGTGTTTTGTGATAGGATTAAAGGATGTACGGATCTGCCAGGTCTTATCTGTTTGAAGCCTGTCATTGTGGCGTTATAACAGACATATCATAGAGTAGCAGTGTCATAAAGCTGTCTCCACTCGGGTCACATATTCAGAATGACATATTCTGTGGAAGAGCTGCAGGTTTTGTTGGAAAAAAATATGTTTTTGGCAGGTAAGTTTGTATGGAAGCATATCTTACCTGTAGGCAAGAACAAGCGTACTTGAACCAAATAGAGTGTAATGAGACCTCATATGCATTCACTCCTTAAGCTGTGTTCAGTTAAAGTATGATGTGCCGAGACAGTTATGACACAGGACAAACATTTTCTGTCTTCAGTGAGTTTTATTGGCCATGAATCGATCACAGGCTCGACAGGTGACAGCGTGTCCTTGGAAAACAGACCGGTAGCTCAAACTGTGTCCTTGTGGCTTCAAATCTATCTGGCTATAAACAATCACACTTGGCAGTGTCACCAGTCACTCTCTTCCCTCATCAACCTCCACTGAGTTTGTCCTGTAACCTGTGCCAGCGGTCCAGAGGCAGATCAATGAGCGTTAAGACTTGGCAAGCACTCTCAATGTCTCCTCTAAGCTAAGATCAAAGGGCTTTTATCAGGTCCGTATAGAGCATTGGACTCATCTATGCTGGGGCAAGAAAGAAGGATTGTAGGCAGCCAATGGCTACATTTATATGGGTCATCTAATTTTACCTTATTTTTTAACCTATAAATTATGGACAAAATTATACCATGGGAAAAAATGAACAGGCGAGGTAAAGAGCTTACAAGTCAATCCTCTTTCAAATATCGGAAGTGTCAGCATGCCCGTTCAGTGTTCTTCCAATCATACACCTTTACCTGAATTTAAATCATAGACTATATAAGGATATAGATGTAAAGAGTGAAGCCAATGGGAGAGTGTCTTAAAGCAGGGAGTTGCAAAAATAAACCTTATTAAATTGAACAAGCTCAGAAGATTACCCTTCTTTTCAGTGAATTAATTCACTCAGTAAATGCTCCCTTAATGAGTTTATAGTCTCAATAGGTAGTTTCAAGTCTTTTTCGATGTCGTATGATGTCTTTTTTTGTGGATTATGTGTCACGGATCGCGAAAACGAAGAGAAGGACCCAGATGCAGAATTCACTAAAACTATTTATTCTTTAAACAAAAGGCAAACAAAAACTTACTTCCAAAAAATCCAACAAGAGAAGGAGCCACGGGTAAAATGACATGCAACTAACGACACCGACAAACACCTACAATGAACTGACACAGAAGGGAAGAAACACTGAGACTAACGACACAGGTGAAGACAATGAGGGCAATCACAATGGAGGGAAACACACAGAGGAAGGAATGAACACAAGACAAGAAACACTGAGGACAACTACAAAATAAATACATGAAACACTGAAGACACACAGAACTCAAGAATGAACAAAACACACTAGAACATAAAGAAACACTAAACACTGAAAAACAAAACTAAAAAAGACCAAATCATGACATTATGATTCAATTTAATGTTAATTGGAAGCAAGTTGAGGCCACCTGTTATTGGCAAGCTGCTACATATGTGAATGGTCAACCAGGATAGAAATGTATCCATCCTCTCATCAATATGTGATCACTTCTGGTTTCAAAATACAAGCTAGAAGGTAGATACAATGCCAAATTTGAGCCCCATCCCTTGATAACTGTGTATAAACCAACAGTTGAGGGCACACTTGTTGAATCCATAGGCGGTGGGTGAGGATGAGATTTGATCATAGGCTTCTTGTTTTAATGACCATGAAGGACGCGTCATCACAAACAAAGCGATTTAATTGAATTTATTAATCAGAGGATTAACAATAGTCACTCGAAATCAACAGGGGAGAGGCATGTGGAAAATGATTAAAGCGGAATACAGTTTTGCGTCTCTCTCTCTCTCTCTCTCTCTCTCTCTCTGTCTCTCTGTCTCTCTGTCTCTCTGTCTCTCTGTCTCTGTCTCTCTCTGAGTGTCTCTTCAATTACCTGACATTTTCCCCCTCAGGGTTATAGTGTAGTACCGAATGCAAAGTTCTATACAACCACTAAAAGCAAGCAGAAACTGAACTATCTGACGTTTGTTTGTCCTTCGATTGGATTCACTCCTACGCACACACAAACACACATAGGCATTCACACAAACACACACACACACACACACACACCCAAATGATCCATAGTCCATTCACAGATCAGATATTAAACCACAGGCCAGCATAGCTCATGTGAGAGCGGCTGTGTGACAGTGGTAGAGTCGTCGTCTGTAGACTGGAGGGTTGGGGGTTTGACCCCCAGCTCCTGCAGCCACATGTCTGATGTGTCCATGGGCAAGACTCTTAACCCCACGTTGCTCTCGCTGCTTTGATGGCGGCGTAAGAATGTGTATGAATGGGATTAGTTATTTCTGATGGTCACTTTACACAGCAACCTCCGCCTGCATCAGTGTGGGAATAGATGTGACATGCGGTGTAGTATACAAGCTCAATTCCATCACTATTATATGCACAGGATTTTTTTTCCACTGTGAATATAACAGAGGAAAAAAAACAAGTGCTTCTAACAACATCAACACTGACAATAAGTTGATGTTTAATATTGTTCCACGACCCTAAATCTGTTTTTCTGACTTTGACAAGTCAAAATGTCTACTGTGAAATGAAAGGCCTATCGAGCTCGTGTTTCACACAAAACTACCTTCAGGAGACGGAATTAATGCGGCTCCAGAGATGTTCATGAAAAAAGCTCAGTTTTTTTTCATGCAAATTTGACGGTGACAACTTGGGTAAACTACAAAAAACAAAGGCCGAGAAGTAGAGCTGCTGCTAATAATAATATAAGCCACCAAACAGGAAGCTCAGATAGACTGCGCAGAACAGATATTTTGACTAGGCAGGGCAGAGAAGGCATAGGTGTTACAAACAACATTAATAATGATCCCAGTGAGCCATGACAGTGTGGCAGTGAATGAGCATGCACAATAGCAGGACGCTGAAACCAAAGCAGGTTAATGAAACTAAGCCATCATTTATTATATTTATTACATCTGTGTTTGTCCTACTGTGTCATAAAGGCATTTACTGTATCTAAGTTGAATAATTGTGTGTATGTGCACGTACTGTAGCTGGCCCGTGTCCCAAAATGTTGCAGGTTTTATTAGACACTTCAGGTCCACTAACCCTATTCAGCCATTGCTATCATTGAGTTAGCCAGCACTAAATCATATTCCATGGGACACTTAGATGTCCATGAATATTATCCATGAAAGCTACAGTGTCTTCAAGAGTTATGAGACATATGAGTTTTTTATGACTACTCGTAGAGGACTCTTGAATACAGAGCTTAACAGAGCTGAATGCCGAGCGCTATCCAAAGTCACCGTCACACCAATTGAGCTCCTGATTGCTTCCTTTAAATGATTAAAATTGGAGTGAATTCTTCTGGCTCTTCTCTGTATCCAGAAGTAGAGGGAGAGATGCACTGCCTAAAATCAGCCCCCAGCAAGTGAAACAAATTCGATTAGACACTTTCTCCTGCTATTTACCAATAATAAATGTGTTGCATTTCCCACAAAGGTAGAACTGTCTTTGGCTTCCTCGAGAACAGAATCCTTAGATGTACCCAGCCTAATCCGTCTATATCTGCTAAGATTATCAAATACATGAGCAGGGAATTGTGCCAGTGGTACACAATCCAAAACGTTTGAGAATGATTCGAGTCTTATCAGCGAAAAAGGGGATAGAAACAAAAACATCCTTCAGCTTTTTTAAGGATATCTCAGATGTCAAAATGAATCTAAGTTCCTTACTGTTTTTGAAGTCACTATGTCTATGTGTGTTTGTGTGTGTGTAAGAAGCCATGTAAGGAATTGCTGAGGAGTTCTTTGGCCTTTTCTTACAGACTGAAGTGATTAACACCATCCTCCCAACTGCCTCTCAAAGCAGATTTCTCTCTCTGTACTCCAGCCTCTCTGTACTGCCAAGCCAGCGCCTGGCAGGCTCCTCTGCTCGCGGCGCATTAGGATGCAAAGCGCTCCATGTCGAGGGAGAAGGGGAGACTAACAAAAGCGCTTTAGTGTTGCAAAAACAAGCCCATCGGTGCATGCCCGTGAAAAGATCTGTACGTCTGCTCTGACTCCCCCTAACTCCCTGCAGCTCTCTGCATCACTCCACCACCCCAACAAAAAAAAAGAGACGCTCTCAAGAGGGCCACATCCATTTCTTGTCGCTCTGACTCCTTTTCTTTTCTTGTCTATCCCCTCCCCCTTCCCATGCGGCAGGTCCAAATTGCTTCGCTGGAACGACGATCATCCCAGCTGGGATTGAAGTGAAGGTGGACGACTGCACCATATGCCGCTGCCACAACGGGGACTGGTGGAAGCCGGCGCAGTGCTTGCGGCGGGAATGCCTCAACGGCCAGTCATTGTCATAGAGAGACTCCACCCGGGACGGTGGGAAAGCTCAGGCAAGGCCCTGCCTACTGCACCATTTTGTATGATTGACAGGGCAGGAGCACAATTCCTAAGTAACCTGAGACAGCATAGTATCGAGGAGATGTTCTCACAAGCGTCACACAAATACAAATATTTGCCACTGGGAAGAAGACAGAACTTGTCTCATGGCTGTTTCCACCCTCCAGTTTCACCGTCCTATGTATTTTCAGAAACTGACTTGGCTTGATTTGCTGCTCTCACACACAAAAAAAAGTTTCTAAGCTCTTTGAACTCTTTTCCTAAACCATCTGCAATGATGTATTGCATAATGTTGATTTCTGTATGTACGTCATCTGCTTGTTGTACTTGTCTTTCACAATCATGCAGGTGTTGTGAAGTTTCAACAGCAGGAAAAAACAAACTGTAAGCACACTTAGTGGCGCTTTTTTTTTTTGTTTGTTTGTTCATAAGAGGATTGACATGGCACTGCAAGTGTGCTTGAGTTTCACAACTTCACTCGAAGAGCTTGTTTACAAGATGCACATCACACATAAATGTTTGTGTCTTCATAAGACTTTTTATTGCTATGGCAGGATCTCACCTCTAACACTTAGATGATGCTACTGTCGATTTTATACACTTCTGTAAAAAAAAAATACCAAAACACAGATTTCATTATCAAGAGTTTGGAGTCATGTCTCTGTATGATAACAGCGCAGACAGCGTTCTGTAAAGTTAGCTGAATGCAAGGGAGGGTCGTTGAGTGCAAATATTAAGAAGGGTAAATGTTAAATTCTGCAACACTGCAGCAAAACAACTCTGAGCAGCCTCTCTCCGACTTAATAGTCATTATTGTTGTTGTCTCTCAGAGGTCCATATCCCCCAGAAATATTCCCACTAAATAACTGCTTGAACGTGTTATCAAGGCAATTAGTGAGCCAAGAGCAGGCTGCTTTACTTTCCCTTAATCAAGGAGTATTCTGAGATAAATCATCCAGCCGGATGCTTGGCACTGCTGCAGCCTGCATGCTGGGCACACTCGGAAAGAATCAGCAGACAAAAAAAAGAGGGAATCTGCATCTGCCTTAGCAGCATTCATGTGCACATTGTCCATGTGAGCATACACAAGCACACCATTCATCCACAGTCTTATTTCAAAAGTATGTGGAGCTGCACTCTGTGAAGCACTTGAACCTATAAGGCTTGTTAATATACAAGGCTGTTACATTATCCCACTGCTATAGATTATGTAATAGATTTACAATACCTCCCCTCCCTATACTGTTGGAACATCTCCACGCTGTGGCTGCTGTGGCTATAATAAAGAGACAGGCTAATGTATTGCTGTGATATTTTGTAAGACCAGAGTCGTCCTCAAGTGGTCCAGCCTGTAAGAAAAAGCACCCAACCCATGCCCAAATCAGGATATTTTTTTACATGATAAATACTGGTCATTACTACAAAGGTGAATTCCAGTAAGCTTGTGCCATTCATCACTAGAATTTTTTCCATTTCCAGAAAATCCGTTCCCGTTAACCTTTTAGACCCTATTCCTGGGCGGTGATGGATGGTCTGCTTAATAGCTGCCACCAGCTCTCTGTAATGAGACAGAAACGAACACGGGATAGAGACCAATGACTAAAGAGGTGTTTTACCTTAAAACCACTAAATTTGGAAAGAATCCCATGGCGCTCCATAGTCTTAAAGGTGCAGCGCATGGGTAACGGATGAGGATCACAGGATTGAAAGAGTGTGGGCGGACTTCAATTTTAGGTGCAACAATGGAGCTTAGGTCATTTTCATCATTAAGCTACAGTGATTTAGTGTCTTTCAATGGGAAATGACAGACCTCATCTATCTGGCTTGAGGTCTGCAGTCTCATAAAGCAAAACTGACATCCATGGTTTATCAATCTCAGCCTCAGCGCTCCAGACATTTTAGGATTAATAAAAGGAGCTTCATTCATCTCAATTACTTTAAATGCCAAATAATTATTCATCCTATATGTGTATCTGAAAACATGTTGGACTTACTTTTCTGGGTAGCAACAGAGAGTAACTGAGGTGAGTGTGAGTGTGCCAGTCGACTGGGTTTAGAGGCATTGCTGCCACCAACGATGCCTTATTGCTTCTGTTCCAGGCAAGATTCACAAAGCGTGGCCTCTGGCCTCAAACAGTATGAACAGCCAAGACTGCTTCAAGTGCTTATTTGTTTGCACTCATGGTGCAATGGTTTACCGTTATGTTTTTCACCAAAGCTAACTATTGATTTACCCTCTGATATTCCAGCAGGGTCAGGTTTCTTTATTCCTGTGGTGGCCATTCCTCTGGCATCACAATCAGGATGGAAGGCTCAAACCCTGTTAATATCCTGCTGGGCTCCAAGGTTTCTAAATGTAATCTTGGTAATCTACGAATCCATTAGCACATTTACTACCTTATAGGAGCCTTGTAAAAGACATTGATCAGCATTGTAAAAGGTGTGATGTCAGAGGAATATGTCCACCAGTTGAATGCTGGTTCTAGGAGTACAAACAGTTCAATCAAAGCTTAAACAATGTGAAATTAATTTACAGATTGCCCTTAAAAATGTGTGTCTGCGCATGTGTGTGTGTGTGTGGGGGGGGGGGGGGGAAGATATGAAATCAAATAAGTAAAATGTATATTCAGAGCACGTAGTTTAGTTACAGAAAACCATGGAAGAATTATTTTCTCGCCCCAGCAAATGAGACGCAGACATGCAGGAGGACTGTTACAGTAAGTAGGTTGAGTCCTGAAGAGTTGTCGTGAAAATGACTGTTATCGCTCTCCTCAACTTTACAAGATGAGTTTCAAATGATCCATCTGGATTAACATACATCATAGATGTGTTGTTTGTAAGCTGCATTTTAAAAAACTTACTATATGTAGTCTATCATACATCATTCATATCTCAGAGAAGCTCCTTTTCTGTGTTCACAGCAGGTGTGACATTCATCGTCGTGTATTCTACAAAGTGCAGTCTGCCTTTGGTTATTTTTGCACCATGAGTCTTTGTGTCTGTTTGTGAATGACAATTCACATGAGACCATCTTTCATTCAGTCCACAGCTTGTACATGGGCATTTTGTAAAGGTAAACCATTTGCTCATTCCATGAGACACCGACTTACTGTAGCTGGAACTATGAAAGATTGTTTCTTTTGTCCCCTTCTTTTTTTTTCTCAGCAACAAAACTGTTATATGAAGTGTGCCTGAAAACCAACACAGAGTATCTGGGATACAAAGAGAGAAACACTGTTATTATACAATCAATTGTATTAATTTTGGGGACACCAAGGGGTCTGTTAACACGGGACTCAAACGTTGGGATTATTTTTGAGTTTTAAAATAAAAGAGCATCTTTGATTGTATACAACACATGCTCACATTGGTTCACGCTCAGCTGTACAAGAAATAAAGTGTCCAAATTAAAAAAAAAAAAAAAAAAAATGTAAACAACACCTTGGTGTCCCCCCATGTTGTTCATATGTAAATATCTTCAAACGTATAATGTGTATTCTGAAATCTGCGGTGGAGTAAAAAAAAAAAAAAGAAAAGAAGAAATTAGAAAATGTGTATCATTCATCGAGACAGAAACTATTTTGTTAAATAGAATTGAAAAGACGTTTTGGCCTAAGTAGGTGTGGGTTTCTTTTTTTATGCTCATGCTCTTTTGTTCACCTGCAAGTATGTGACTAAGAATGCTTAAGAAGGCATGAAGAAGCCCCATTAACAAGGATTCAATGTGAGCTGATAGCAATGCTGCCAACAAATGTCCTTGAATACAGCCAGGTTTACTACGTTCTCCAACCATACAGGAACCAACAAACTGTTAATGGTATCAAAACTTAAGAGCTGACCCAGGTCAACAGGTCCTATTAGCCTTTATATAAGCAGAACAGTATTTCCCCTGCTTAAAGGCTATGTTAGAGAGAAAATAAGAAAGATTCCAGTGCTTAATGGTTTTGTAATGCGGTGAGTTCAAGGACATTACTCACAGGTTCAGCCTTCTATTTCATTACATGTCGGCCCGGGCTTCTATCTCGTCCGCACTACTAATTGCCTTCTCCCACCTCTCTCGCCGTGGACAAGAAAAGGGGAAGCAATTTTATGCAGCACATTGCAATCAATAGCAATTAGGTGCATCCCCGACTAATCCCATTTAAAATGGCGTCTTGGGAGATGGCCAGTAGGAGACCTCTCAAAGCACACTTACCTCCAGGCCAGCGTTGGTGGTGGGGAACATTACACATATACCCACTATGCGGAAACAAATGTTGGACAAGGCCAGCGGCAGCACCCACAGAGAACAATTAATCGCTTTGTTTTTCTTCTTCTACACTTTTATTGAATGTCCATCGATCTTTTCTCTCGTGCAGGGACACACTCTACTCCATTTGTATCAAACAAGAATTTTCAATTAGTTAATGAGATAATCATGTCATCCTGGTAAAACTATGCCGATTATAGGACAGAATTCCACTCTAATTCCACTTATTAGATGTTGCAGCAAACAAAATAACTGATTTGAGTACAACGCACAAACTTGGAACAGATCAGAGTGAATGAATGTGTCAATTGAGTTAATGGCTGGTGAAGGGCCAGCAAAGATGAAGACATCTTACACTGGAGAGTCATGGGGAATAGGGAACGATTTACCAGAAGACCCACACTCCCATTGAAGCACGACTGAAATTACAGAAGTGCTCACAGTACTTTCTCTGCAAAAGGTAGCAGGGCTTTACTTGTTTGGTTTTTTGAAGTAATGTTTTGGGCCTTTTAGCCTTTACTGAAGAGAGACAGGAAACGTTGGGGGGGAGTGAGTAGCATTAAAGGGCCGAGGTCACATTTGAACCCACAGCTGCTGCAACGAGGTCTACAGCCCCTGTACACGGGTCGCATGACATAGCTGCTAGGCTATCGGTGCTCCAGGGCTCTCCTTCTTTGAGAAATAAGTGAAGGTGGTTGGGGCTAAAAAAAACATTGAAATCTGTGGTTGTGTTGCAAAGTTTTGGTAAGTTTGTCCTGCAAGGCCTCAATGCTGTATTACTCGGTCAATACAGAAAGAGTGAATGGTATAGTTCAAAGCAAGAAGTTTATTTACATCCAACACATCTTGGGGTGGGAAAGTGGGGTGGGTGTGAAAGTCAGAGTTGGACACAGAAATGTACAGATTTTGGTTGACACAGTCCTCTAACAGACTGTCGGGAGGTGTTTTTTAGAACTGTATAAAGGAACAATCTAACTAAAGAATCAGAAAAACTATTAAAGGTTGATCAATTGATTTAGTCTTTTAAAATTAAGAGGTAAGAAAGAGGCAAACTACTCTGCACTTAGTCCCCATGATCCTCTGTTGAAATTCTAATTTGTATAGCAGAAGTGAACCTCTATATTTAGAAAAAGGTTGTAGTGGAGAAAAACCTCCTAATTAAGAAACAACAAAATATGCAGATAACTCCTTTAATAATACATTTTAAGAGCCACATTATCATCTCATTATTGTTGATGTGACTTGTTTCAACTTAATTGTTACATTAAAATCATAACAATGTTTTAGAAAACAGGATTTCTCAGTGTACAGTGATTATTGAATATAGAGAGGAGTAGTTCAGATTACAGTTTGAGGGTCCGGCACGGGGAGGAGGTGGAAAGCCGCGATGCAGTCAATGATCCAGGAGGAGGGAGCGGACCACACCTTACCTCTCCTCACTACTGCCGGCTTGTGAGGCCCCTTGGGATCAAAGATGATGTACTGGGTACAGAGGGCCTGGTCGGAGCCCGGCAGTGCGTGGTAGGCGGCAGCACTCAGGGTCTGGGTCACGTCGCTGTCAGGCTTCGGCTGCCGGCTGAGGAGCTGACCTCCTCCTTCTCTGAGCAGCTTGATGAGCTCATCTTTCGGAGGCGCCTTGAAGGAGCCGAGTAGGAAGAAGAAACAGCCATCAAAGAGACGAGGGAGCTGCGATGGATGAAGGATTAAAAAACAAAAAAAAAAGACTCAAACATTAGTGGAAACGTCTATTAATTCCTGCTTTAGAGCTGTAAGCTATGATCATCTTTCCAATAAATTATGTCAGTAACGCATCGCCCATTCAAGGATGAAACCTCAGTCTCCTCTTTTGTTTATGATGAAGTCGAACACTGATTATTTCTTTGCAGCTAAATCTAGACTCTTATGTTACAAAGTGTCTGTGTAGCTTTGTGTTCACTTCTTTGTGACAGAGCCAGGAAACTGTTTTTTTTTTTTTTTAAATCAGTGCTGTTCTCCAGACAAACTCTAGGCCACGTAGCATCGCTGTTTAAAGCAGCATTGAATAAAGCCACTGGAGACTTCTATTCACAGCATGGATGAACTCAAATGTTTCACGGGGTAAACTAACTCTCTTGAGACTCTGTGTGTTCTTTGACTATGCTAAGGTTTGTTTTTACTTGTTACTTTCTACTAGTATGATTGATGATACCTGCAGGGACGACAGGGACATCTTAAACTACTAAATGGGAAATGGAATTGAACATGTAAAGCGCTTTTCTAGTCTTCTGACTACTCAAAGCGCTTTTACACCACATGTCACACCTACACATTCACACACTGATGGTAGAGGATAAGATGTAAAGTGTCCATCAGAAGTAACTAATCCCATTCATACACACTGCCGACAAAGCAGCAGGAGCAACTTGGGGTTAAGTGTCTTGCCCGAAGACAAATCGGACATGTCGCTGCAGAAGCTTGGGATCGAACCCTCGACCTTACAGTTGAGAGATGATGGACTACCAACTAAGCCACATGTAATTTGTTTATATGTCGGTCTCGAGAGTCATCCCGACAACAATTCTAGCATTAGTCTCATTATGAAAACAAGGATATAACTCAAAAATCTGCTTCTCTTGCATTTTTTGTATTAAATTGTTTTACTTCGCTGACATAGAATAGATGCTATTCAAATGTTTTCACATGAATCAAAAGAATGTATTTTTATTGAAGACTTCTGCAAATATATCTACACTAAGTACCCCTAATATAAAAGAGAAATGATTGCCATTGTTTCTTGCCATAAAGTGGAGACACACTGAGCCCAGTGTGTAAACAGGCCTGTATCAGCTCCCCCATCTAGGCTATGCAGTGTGACCAATGTTTCCCTTTTTTTTTTTCCTTTTTTTTTTTAAACACTGAACAAGCTCTGTCAAATGGCAACTGGTATGTTTTTAGCAGCTATTGTCTGCAAATTCTCATTCAGTGAGGTCATGACTTAGACTTGTCAAAAGCAGGACATTAACCATGTTGTTGTTGCTGTTCTGAAGCTGCTTCGGCTTTGTTTGGAGATGTTGTCTAACTGAAAAATAAATCCTCTCCGGGATCACAGTTGTCTCATGGACTGCGGTAAGTTGTCCTCCAGGATTTTGCTGCATTCACATTACTTTCTATCCTCATAAAAACGTACAGGGCTGGCTGCAAAAACAAACATCCCCACAACATGAGCCAGATCAGAGCCTGATAACACCGAGGCTTAATGTGGGGGTGGTGAATTTTTGCTGATGCATGATCAGTTAGTGTTATAACATACACCCCCTTAAATATTCTCAAAATACCCTGCCTTCAC